GGATTGCCAGCAACCATCAGTACCTAGGAAGAGGCAAGGAGGGATTTGACTCAAGGGACTAGAGAGGAAGCATGGGCCTGCCATGCCTCCAGAACTGTGACAGAATCCATTTCTGTTGTTTTAAGTGATGCAAGTTTGTGGTACTTTGTTAAAGCAACCACAGGAAACTAGTACACATGATAAAGAAAAAAAATTTAAATACTGAAATGCCCTTTCAAGATGGAACAGAAATCTATGTTGGAAATTTAAATTTAAAAGTTCCCAAGTCAAAATTTCAGAAAGCATTTTCTGACACACTGCTAGCTGAAGAATAAACTTTACGGAAAAGAAAAGTGTCCTCCCCGTATAATGCAAAAGTCTCTACTGAGTTTCTGTAGAGGACCAGAGGCATTGCTTGTGTCAATTCAAAATGGCTTAGCTCTGATCTAATCCTGAGCAAGACTTGCTTGTGTTTAGGAAGTCCATCTACCAAAGTCTACCACCATTTGCCAGGTCATCGCAAGCCTAAAATCTGTTATGCCTGGGGTAAGCCATGGACATTCAAGTGTGCATTCTCTGCCATGTTTGCCCTGTTTATCTGAGTGGCTTCTGACTCAGTTTCCCTTTTGAGACTATGATTCTGACAACCAAACCAGCTTTTGTTTCTCTAAAGACAGATCCCTTCCTTACTCTTACCTCTAGGAGGGGCCCTGCCTCAAATCTGATGGACTCTCTGCTTTAGAGAGGGATTTCTTACACTTTCAATTTTGGAATGCCCATAGCAACTCTGAAGAAAGCTGGTCACAAGCTCCTATATCCCAACCTCAGCTGATTCAACCAAATTCAGGTGTCTGGTTCAAGAGCAGCTCATCCATAGGCCTGTCATTGTTCTATGGAGTAGTCTGGCAAGGAAGCTTTATTTAATGAAGGAAACAGTAATCAATAGTACCAACAGGACCTTCTCTTTGGAGAGTTTAAATAGGATGCTTTGCTGGGTATGGGGGTCCCTGCTGTTGGTAGTAGGGAGAAAGATTGGAAAGACACACAGAGAAAGAAATCATGTGGTAGCAGGCACTGTTAGTGAGTAGAGGCCATGAGACAAAGAAAAATGCAGGAAGTTGGCTGGTAGTGGCAGGAGTAGTAAAACAGGGACAAGAACAGCTGCATCATTATAAAAGTGGCAGAGCATTAGATTCAGGGCAGCTGATGCTGGTGTCGGAGGGCCCACAGAATAACTCAAACTGCGTTGTGTTCTAAGCAGCCTCTATCTTGTAAATGATGTTCTGGTCTCTATGAGGAATAGCTGTGCAGCTATTTAGTGTTTCCTGTCTTTCTTACATCCTCCTGTATATCCCTGCAATGCCACCCTCCCAGTTCTGCACCCCCATTAACTAAGATAAATGTGTCTCTGCTCTTGAAACATTAAAAAACCAGGCCATGAAACCACCATCTGCCGCTATAGAATTTCATCAGATTGGACTTCATGGAAACCATCCAGAGATTTTGAAGGTACCCTCTCCTCTTAGACATCAACACGTGGAAAGTCCCTTACTACCGCTTGGCTAGACCTTCTTACCTCAGGTCTGTTGCTTCCTCTTCTTCAGTTCACTTGCTGCAGAAGCTCAGACATGCTTTATAAATCAAGGCACATGGGTTATTATAACACTGATCTCATTTAATGTAACTTCATCTCCATAATGGAGCATTTGACCTCAAACTTCCACTTCTAGGGATCTCAACTCATCCAGCTGCTCATCTCATTGAGCATCTGGAAAGTAGTTTATTCTCCTGAAAGTTCTCTACCATTGAGTATTTGTGTTGTTCCCAATGTTCTTTGGATATAAATAACACAGTGGTGAGCATCCTTATAATAAAGCTGAGCTTGCGTCAATCCTATTTCCTTAGTTGAGATCCCTAGAAGTGGAAGTTTGGGGTGAAAGCCTGGGTATATTTTTATAACTCTTCCTACATAATGCCAAATGGATCTCCAGAAAGAACAAACTTATTCACAATCTTGGCAGTAGCATATTGGCAATAGCTGTAGTGAGGAGGCAGTAGAATGGCCATCTCACTACAGCTGTCCTTAATTTCTTCCATGATTTGGCACAATTCTCATTGAGCCTCAGGAGTTCTTTCATTCCTCTCTGAGCCTTTCTGCATTAGATTCTGTGTTAATTCTCATCTCATTTCCATTGTTCATGATTAGTGCTCAACCATCCAAAGCCTGCACCTTCCACCCCAAGACTGAGAAGACTCCATCTGGGAAGAACATCAATAGCCCTCCCCTACTAGTCAGTAGAAGTCTGGAAATGGTCTTTGGCTCACAGGCTGAAACCTAAGACACAGATGCTTTGGTGTGTTTGAGCAGTGGTTGTCCCTAATACCCCTGGATGCCCATCTATAGTTGCCTTCCACTTGCTTCTTTTGGGCTCTTGAGTTCACTCAAGGGAGTCCCATCCTATATTCTGCCATCAAGCTGGTATCTGTTTTCCCGCATCACCTCTGCCTGCCGTATTACCTGGGGCTGGGTCACCTATATCTTGCTCTTCTCCACCTTCTATTGGATAGACTTCCCCAGATGATTTAGTTTTGCATCTCATGATCCTCCATCCCACCCTATCCCCGGTCTTTGCCGAGGTCACTGAGGCCATTCCCTTATGCTGCTCTCCTGTATTAGTTGTTGCTTTGACTTTAACATCTGTGAAATACAGCTATATTTTCTATGTGTTTGCTTAATCTTGGTCTCTTACTGCCACCCTCTCCTTTGCGTTGCCACTTCTGCCCTAGCTTTGCCCTGACACTGGTGACTCCCCTCACTTTGGCTCAAGGCTTTACTATTCCCAACATGCCCTGGCCCGGGTGTTACAAGCCTAGTGAGAAACTGACACTTTAAGGCTGCTTCAGAATACCAAAGGAGTGTATTAATTATGCATAGAAGGGCTGTGGTAGTTTGCCAGTTACATCTTAACAAACTCTATTCCACTCCCCAGACATCCCAGCCCTTCCCTACTTCTGTTAGGTCCTTCCTGCCTCCCTTTGTTCCATCTCTGGCTTCAGCATCTTGACCTGCCTTCTGGCCTCTGGCCCACCATATGATAGTCCAGTGCCCAGTTTGGCTGCCCTTCTCCCTTGGCATTGCTGGCCAGATCTAGCTTCCCTGTGAGCTGAATCTATAAGCTGCCCTGGCAGGCATGACCTTGCATTCCTGACGGCCCTACCTCCTCTCTGGGTCTGGCTCTGCTCCAGAAGCTATGTGGATAGGATATTTTAACCCCTCCAATTTCAGTTTTCTCCTGAGAAGGTAGGGCCAATACAGGAATATGGGCAGTCAAGGCTCAGATCATCCTCTTTCCAGCAAATCCTTTCCAGGGACATGCCTTGAAAAGGAACGTGGTTAATAGGGGCAGGCACTCAGAACTGAAGAAACTCTAAGAAATAAACCAGCAATTATTGCCCAGAATGACCTGCTCATCCCTCTATGGCATGCTCTTACCCAGCTCTATGTTACCAATTTTGGAGAGCTACCAAGGTGCTTTTATCTAACACTTGGGGGGTCTCCCACCTTGCTACTGCTCCTGCTCCCCAGACTCCAGTGACTTTTTTCTTAGACTTATTGCTGAATGTCTGAATCACCCTGCTTCAAGGGTGGAGGTGACTGGTCACTTTAGTGGGTTCTATAAAGTGAAGGACTGTAGGGGCTATTTAACCAGAGGGAATGGGGGAGCATCAAAATCAGGAGGGTGAGGAGATGTTTCTTGGTTCATGGGAGCCAAGTCCAAAAATCCATGAGAGTCTGGTGCCCCTCCACTCTAGCAGCTGCTATAGACTTGGCACAGAACAAGCATGTGGATGCAGGGAGACTGGGAAGAAACTCTGCTCTTGTTTCTGGCCTATTTTATGAGCCAGAAGGGCAAGGCACATGGTGGTGTTCTTTCTGGTCAAGCTGCTTTTGATTAAAAGAAACTGAAACCTACTTAGAGTTCAGGGGATTGGAATAAGAGGAAGAGCTGGCTCTTCTACAGTAACGCTAGCAGGAAAATAGGGAATAACCAGCAAATTGACTGGCATGTCCAGGGAAGTGAGTCAGCCAGGATCAAAAGCCAGGCATTAAATGGACAATGGTCACTGTCCTTCTGCTCCTTTCTATGGCATGCTTATTCCTTGGCTTCCTCCTGTTACAAAAAGACTAGGAACTTCTGGAACCCATGCTATTCCAGAAACTCCTCTCAACAAATCAATATTCTCTCACCTCCAAATTATGTTGGGGAATTATCAGAGCTTTGAATGGAGTTCCGAGTCTTTCTTCCTGATAGACAGGGACTTATTCTGAATATTTTGCTCACTGTGCTAAGTGAAGAGCTAACTCCTTACCTCTTCCTTCCCTTCCTTCCTTCGCCCTTCATGAACTGAGTCCCTTCATGCTCTGGCCTTTGCTTCTTTCACCTGCATTATGGTGGGGCTCAGGGTGTAGAACACAGAGAGAGGCTGGGAGAGCCAACTCATTCCCATAACTCTGGTCCTAAAGAAAACCCTTCAGATGGAGTACCTGTTAGTCCATCCTTATTAAATTCATGGTAACTTACCTCTTAGTATTCATAGCCTCTCTAGCAATGAAGATTTTCATCCTAAGTGCCTTGAATCAAACTTTCTGATCACCCTCAGGTTCCAGAGACACATAAACAAATCAGCTGTTTGCAAAAAACAATCATTATCTCTTAGAGGAAACACACCCATTGACATTCTTTAAGCTTTACAACTTTGGACATCTTACATATGAGGAAATCAAGGCTCAATGAGGTGAAGTGACTTACTTGCCCAAGGTCACATGAGTTAATGGTAGCGCCAGGACAAGAAGTCGGATCTGCCCTCAATCCAGGGATCTTTCTATTATGCTGTCATGCCTTCCTCAGGATTTTGCTCATCTTTGGCTTATGCAACACTCTATCTTAAGTTGAAATTACTCTCATAGCTTAGAAATAGGACAGTTGCCTAATTTGTATTTTCTTTCTGCCTTTCTACAGAGGAGTCTCAAAATACTATGGATTGTTAAAGTAGAAAACTGGAACCTCATGGGGCCATCTTAGATCCTCAACAGGTATGTTCCGGAAAGCCTTTGCTGGTGTGTTCTCAATGAAGGTGTGGTCTACAGTTTTGGTTTCCAAAGGCTACAGTGTCACAGGTCTTGCATATGAATCATGGTCATGAATATCCATGAGTGATCTATGTTAAATACTGGGATCAGGTAAAAGTACAATGTGATTGTCAAATCCTATTTTCATTTTTCCTTCTCTCTTGTGAAAATTTAACTCACCTGTGTTTAAACTTCCATTGCATACATGAAGGTAACAGTAAAACACTGTGGAGAGGTAGCATAGCATAAAGAATGAAATAGTGGGTTCCAATGCCAAACAAACCTGGGATCATATCCTGACCTGGCCACTTGCTAACTGTGTGATCTTGGGTAAATTACATAACCTTTCCAAGACTTAGTTTTTTCATTCATAAAATGAGTATTATTTAAGATTACTATGTGAAATAATCCAGGAAAAATGCTTAACACTGGGCATATCTAATAGCCAATGCCTTCCAAATAATAATTTTATTATTGCATTACCTCAGTCTTTACTAGATAATAAGAGACCTTGGATGCTGAAGCTGCTATAACTACATTTTTTTGGCATATTGGTGGTGCTAATATTTGTACTCTTATCTTTTCCCTCTTTCTGTTCTTCTCTTCATTATTTTCACATGATAAACATGGACTTTTTCTGATTAACCAAAAAAAGACTAGTAAATTTCATTATAGTTCGGTTTAATACATTTATTTTTAAAATTAAGTATGTCTGTTTTAATTCAGATATTCATTTTGAACATAGCTGTTGAAACTCTTAGTTTAAATATTTGTATTATATGGCAAAACCCATAGACAATATTCAATACATTGTTTTCAAAGATATCCACTTTACTAAGTCCCTCCTTTTCTTTAATTTTTTGTTCAAATCTTACCTTAATAGCGCTTAATCTGATTATCCTATTCTGCAAGCTCCTACCTTCTCCTATACCTAACACTCCCCGATTCCAGAAACTTCCACCCTACCCTACTCCTGCCACATCCCCCCAACACACACACACATTGGCAATCCTGAACCCACTTTATTCTGCTCTTTTTTTTTTCCCGTAGCACTTATTACCATCTAACATAAAATAAAAATATTTTTATTGTTTGTTGTATGTTTCCATATGGATAAGGGTTTTTGCCTCTCTCTGTTTCTCTCTCATTAATACTTCCAAGTGCCTAGAATAGTGGCAGTGACATAGTAAGTGTTCAGTAAGTACAGTAAGTATTGGTTGAATGTTTGCTGAATGCACATACTGGCCTATTTATTAAACTGGATCTTCTTAAATTATCAAATGACCACCTTCTTCTTCTTCTTCTTCTTCTTCTTCTTCTTCTTCTTCTTCTTCTTATTCTTTTCTTTCTCTTTTTTTTTTTGAAACAGAGTCTTCTCTGTCACCCAGGCTGAAGTGCAGCGGCATGATCATAGCTTATTGTAACCTTGAGCTTCTGGGCTCAAGAAGATATATATAGATTCACACACATATGATATATAGAGAGAGACAAATCCCTGAGCCATTAACTTCTATTTGTCTTCCTGCTAATCCTAACTAAACTTTAGTAATGACTATTTGTGTGAGTATGTATATATATGCATATATATGTGTGTGTGTGTGTGTGTGTGTGTATATACACACACACACACACACACACACACATATATATACGTATATATCCAGATAGAGGTCATTTCCCTAGTGTATATATATACACATATGTGTATATCTACATGTATGTATAGATATACACATATGTGTATCTCTACATGTATGTAGAGATACACACACATATTATACTGTAGGTATATATGTGCATTTATATGCATATTATATACATATATGTATGTGCGTTTATATGCATATGTATGTGTGTATATATATACACACACATATATAATATGCATATAAACGCACATATATGTAAGTATATGTATGTGCGTTTATATGCATATTATATGTATGTGTGTGTATATACATACATACATATATATACACACACATACATATAATATGCATATAAACGCACATACATATACTTACATAAGAAGGTTGTATTTTTTAATGGTGCAATAACTTTTAAATCTCTCAATGGCGTATGGTATTTTTTTCCTCTTTTCTATTTTGAGGGAATGTTTATTTCTAAAGAAATAGCTGTTTCATCACATATCCCACAGTGTAATGAGTGCCCTGGGATGAAAGTCCATAAAAGGTTCCTCTTCAGAACTCCCAGACTTGAGTCCAGTTTTGGCTCAGATCCAGTTAAACAACTGTGTAATTTGGCATGGTACTTTGAATATGGGGTATCATTTTAGAATGATGCTCAGATAAATCTGTTTTTATCTAAATTAAACTTGCTAGTTGCTGCTTAGCCCTGACTGGATTCATTTGATTGATTGATTTGTTGTAATTAACTTATTTACCTTCCCTAATTTGTCAGGCATTGTGCTAGGTTCTGCTTATATATGATGAAAGGACAAAGTTCCTTCCTTTAAAGAATCTAATAGAGGAGAAGTAATAGACAAGTTTAAATGGTGATTATAATGTAGCGTAAGTGCCTCATTATAGCTGACAACAGGATTATGCTAAAGGAACACAAGTGGCTAGGAGATATTGATAGCCTGTAAGTAATCTAGACTGCTGCCAAGTTTACCCTGAGACAGTAAGGTTTTCAGGATAGGACCAGCCATTTTGTCTACTCTGAGATGGCAATTGCTTGTGGTCAGAAACAGAGGGAGCAAATGTATTATTATTATTACTATTAATATATTTTTAATACCAATGATGGTAAGGAAAAGGCAGTTTACAGAACAAGAAATTCAATCTTACTCATAATTAAAGTAATGCAAATTAAAATAATAATGCAATTATTAATTATTAAATAAATAATTATTAAAATAATAATGCAATAATAATTAAATTATTGAACACCTACTGTGTGCCAGGCATTGTTAAAGGTGCTGGGGACTAAAGCTCAAAATCATGGTTCTCAAAGAGCTGTATCCTAGTTGGGGAGACACAAAATAAAGAAATGAATAAATAATAGGTAAGTGCATGAGCTTATAATTAGAATCCTGGTTGAAGCTCAGTTTACTGGGGGTCCACTGGGCCCATGAATCCAAATAGAGGTTATTTCCCTAGTCCCCAATTATAAAATTGAGATCAACACACATGAAAGTTGGAGAAATCAATGGGATGAACAACAATATTACAGTTTTACTCCAGGCTATATTAACCATCCTATCCATTGTCATAAAATACTCTGAAAAACAGAGCTGCACAATCCAGACTTCCCTCAAAACACTATGGCATTGATAACTTTGTGCTGATCAGTCAAAAAAACAAGAGTTGGTCAGCATGCTGGAGACCTTGGTCAGATACAGGCACTCTAGAATGTGGGAAATAAACTCTATCAAGATTCAGGGATCTGCCACTTCAATAAAGTTTTTGGGGTCCAGTGGTCATAGGTGTCCTGGGATTGCCTCCAAAGCAAGAGATATAGCACTGCATCTTACCATCTCTGTTCATTAGGAAGCACAGAGCCCAGTGAGCCTTTTGGGTTCTGGAAGCAACACATTTCGCACATATTGCACCACTCATATACCAGTGTCCACAGAAGGCTGCCAGCTTTTACTGGGGTCCAGAGCAGAAAAAAACAATGCTCTGCAACAGGTCCAATACAAGCAACCCTACTGCTTGGGCCATAACTTCTGGCTGAGCTATGATGGTGGACATGTTGGTGCTAGGAAAGTGGAGTTGATGGTGAGTTCTAGGAGGAGAATCACAATGCAGGCCCCTGAAGTTCCAGAGCATCGTTATGCCATCTACAGTGAAACATTATGCACTTTTTGAAAAATAGCACTTGATGTCTGTAACTGGGCCCTGGCAGACATGGAATGTGTGACCATGGGATACCAAGTACCCAGAACTACCCATTATGAGTTGGGTTATTTTGGCCCTGACATATCATAAAGTCAGACATATCCAGCAATAGTCCATTAAAAGATGAAATTGGTACATCCAGTATCCAGCTCAAGCAGCAGCAGAGGGCCAAGTAAACTTCATAAGCAGGTGGCCCAGGACCTCATGACCACAGCTACACCAGCACCTCTCCCTCCCTCAGTTGGCAGCTATGCCATGCAGGGGTCCCTATATGATCAGTTTAAACAGAAGGAAAAAGTCTAAGCTTAGGTTATGGACAGATGAGAGGGAGCATGTGGGAGCAAGTAAAAATGGACAGCAGCTTCCTTACTGCTACCCTCAGAGATGGACTTGAAAGAAAGCAAAGAAAGTAAATTTTCCCAATGGGCAGACCTGCCAAGCAGCATACTTGAATACCTACTTTGTGAAGAGAGAGAATAGCCCAAAATGAGAATATCTCTTAGTCATCTATTGTTGCATTACAAATTATTTTAAAATGTGGGGTCTTAAAATAACACATATCTCACAGTTCCTGTGGGTTAGAAATCCAGGTGTGGCTTGGCTAGACCCTCCAGCTCAGGGGCTCTCACAAGACTGCAACCAAGATGTCAGCTGAGCTTGAGCCATTTCCAGGCTCAGCTGAGGGAGAGGATCTGCAACCAAGCTCTCTCATGCGATTAACAGAATTCAGTGTCTCACAGGATGTTATACTGAGCGACGTTGGTTCCTTGCTGTCTTTTGGCCAGAGGCCTCCCTCAATTGCTGCCACATAGGTCTCTATAGGACAGCTTGCTATATGGCTGCTGGTTTCTATAAGAGTGAGCAAGTCAGAGAATAAGAGAGGGTAAGTAAGATGGAAACAAAGCTGTTTTATAACTAATCTCAGAAGTGATGTCCCATTACCTTTGCTTTATTCTATTTGTTAGAAGTAAGTCACTAGGTCCAGTCCACACTCAAGGGTAGAGGATTATGTAGGGACACCAATACTAGTAAGAGAAGATTAGAAACTTAGAAACTGCCTACCACAAAACAGATTCCTAGGCAATGACCAGTAGCAGCAGC